TTTTTTTTGTCTTTTTGAGACAGGGTCTCCCTGTAGTCCCAGCTGACCTGAACTCACTATGTAGACCAGGCTGGCCTTGAACTCACAACGGTCCACCTGCCTCTGCCTCCCGAGTGCTGGGATTAAAGGTGTGCGCCACCACACTGATCTTATTATTGCCCTTTTGAAACAGGACCTTACTATGTAGTTCAGACTGATCTTGAGCTTGCTACGTAGCCCAGGCTGGACTCAAACTCATGATCCTCCTGCCTCAGCCTCCTGTTAATTATAATAAGTATTTAACCTGACATGAATATTATTCAGTATAGTACCAGAATGACCCCACTCCAAACAAAGGCTCCACTTGAAACTTTTTCTCCTGCCTGTAATTATACCCACTCTTCCTACAGAGTTCAGTGACTAATTTCCAGCCTTTGTTCCTTAAACCTGCAACACACTGAAGAGAGATCTCTGTTTCTCTTCCTACATAAATAAAAAAACAACTCCAATCTCTAATGCTGAAGCATCATGTATCACTTGACATTGACATGCCTCCTTATTGCCGATCTTGACTCTCTCCTGTGAATCGGAACAGAGAGAACTCTCAGGTCATTTCCTCAGGGACAGGAATGTAAGAGTGAGTGTCCAGAAGGTTAGATTTAGGTATAGTGTGTTGAAAGGTACCTGTTGTGGATTTGCCTACACTGTACTAAATGTACTGATGAATAGTATTTTGTTGTTGTTTGTTTTTGGTATATTGATATCCCTACCATTGTTGAAAACAAAGACTTCTCTCCATCTGGGAGCACTGTTACTCTTGGCCTTGCTGTATAGTTATGTAGTCTGCCTGCCTATTCAAGAAGGTATCTGCCTAGTCTCTATCAGAAGAGGTGAAGGGATGGTTTAGAGGAATCTGACTTTTAGTACTGGGTAAAGAAAATTGACAAGCACATTAATGTAAGGAATTGTAGGATACAAATGGAACTTAAACTGAGAACTTCATGCTTTCACATTGAATCAAATTAGATTCCTAAGCAGGGTGCCAAGAAATTGCTCTAAAAAGTAGAAGTTTCTGGGGAGCCTCAGGCAGAATATCAGGAACAGGATTGAGCCAGGCGACAGGGATGTTTTGTATAGTCTTGGTGATTTAAATAAGGCATGACAGGGTGTGAACTATATTAATTCTCACTTCATTATTTGCTCAGTGCTGTCAACACAGTTGGGTCTCATGCAGTTGTCTTAGTCAAAGGGAAAAGTTAGAATTCTTCCTCATAGGATTGACTCTGGTCAACAGTTTTTTTTTAACATTTGTGGATATGAAGGACATTTTATTTAACAAATATTTATTTGCAGCTCAGCATAAAAAGTAAGCCTCATCACTGCTCTCTGAGTGCTCATAGACTCAAGGAGGGGACAGTAGGAAGACAAAGGCAAGAGTGTATGTGCAGCTGCAGGCTAAACATGGCAGTGATTAATGGGCGGGATGTTGAATGAGTTCTGCTTATGGGGGAACCAGGAACTCTCAGAAAGGGATCTTACTGTGGAGTACTCTCTCCCTGCAGAGTATTGAGAGACTTCCTGAGATCTTGGACTTCTCCAGTGCACTTCTTATCATTCCATAAATGTGCCGTCTTCAGAAATTGCAGCTAAGATTTTTAATGTTGTAAACGAGCTAGAGTTTGTAATATTTGCTATGGTTTATTGAGTGCCTATCATATGTTAAATAGAAGGCCACATTTGTGATTCCAATCTCTCTCTTTTTTTAAGCCCCAGTTGGCCTGGCCCTCACTATGTTAACCAGGCTGGCCTTAATGTTAGAGATCTATCTGCCTATTCTGCCTCCCCAGTACTAAAATTAAAGGTGTGTGCCACCATGCCTGGCTTTAAAGATCTCTTAATTTCTTACAACCACCTTACAAATTTGAAGAACTATCAAAGTTAGATTAATAGGTCACTCTATTAAAATTATAGGTAATGGAACTAGGCATGTATCTCAGTTGGTAGTTTGTCTAACATGCAGAAAGCCTGGGGCTCAATCTCCAACATTACATAAACTACTGGGTATGGTGGGGCATACCTGTGATCCTAGATCAGGAAGTGAATTGAACCCAGGATCTTATTTTTGAGACATAGTCTCCCTGTAGGCTCAGCTGGCCTGGAACTCACTATGTCTGGCCTTGAACTTAAGAAGCAGAGGCAGGAGGATCTCTGTGAGTTCAAGGCCAGCCTGGTCTACATAGCGAGTTCCAGGACAGCTGGGGCTACAGGGAGACCCTGTCCCCCTAAAAAAAAAAAAAAAAAAAAAAAAAAAAAAAAAAATTATTTCAGGGATTTTGTTAGAGTGAGTTTTTTGTTTTAATGAGCTCCCATTTATTTATTTTTTGTTTATTTATTTATTTGCTTTGTTTATTTTTTGGTCTTTTTGAGACAGGATCTCCCTGTAGCCCCAGCTGGCCAGGATCTATGTAGACCAGGCTGGCCTTGAACTCAGAGATCCTTCTGCCTCTGCTGGGATCAAAGGCATGCGCTACCACACCCAGCTTTTATTTATTTTTATTTGTGAATACAACCCTCACTACTCATAGGTTCTATGTTAATGGATTTAATCAACTGCAGATTAAACATACTTGAAAAAACATTGAAAATAAAATTATATCTCTGCTAAACATGTATAGACTTTTTCCACATCATTTTTCCCTATACAGTACAGTATAGCAACTGTTTAAATTGAATTAAGGTTATAAGTAATCTGGAGATGATTTAAACTATAAATTAGGATGTGCATAAGTCATATGTACTATGCCATTTTATGTAAGGAACTTGAGTCTTTGCAAATTTTGTTATGAACAGGGATCCTGGAACCAAGTCCCTGTGTATGCTGAAGGATGACTATATATATTTAATGATAGTGGTGATTGAACCTAAGGTCTCACACATGCTCGAGAAGTACTCTACCACTAAACTGTGTAAACCCACATCCAGCCTCTTTTTACCTTTGTTTTATGCCTTTTTTTTTTTTTCCATTTTGAGACAGGGTCTCACTGAGTTGCCCAAGGCTCACCTTGAACTTACTCTGACTTACTCTTTAGCACAAGCTGATTTTGAACTTGCAATCTTGTTGCCTCTGCTTCCCAAGGTTTGGGATTTCAGGTATGTGCCATCAAGCTTGGCTCTTTTGTAGGTTTTTTTGGAGGAGGGGGTCAGGTCTTTTGGAGACAAGATCTCCCTGTAGCCCCAGATGACCTGGAACTCACTATGTAGACCAGGTTGGCCTCAAATTCACAAAGATCCACCTGCTTCCTCAGTGCTAGGATTAAAGGTGTATGCCACCAAGCCGAGTCTTCTTTTGTAGTTTTTTATAATACAAGTTTTGAACTTATATTGTTGCATTTATCATTTTAGTTGTTTTTGGATTGTTCATTTTGGTTTTTTTTGTTTGTTTGTTTGTTTGTTTTTGAGTCTTACTGTGTATTCCAAGCTGGCCTGCAACTAGAACAGGCTGGTTCTCTATCATGTGATCCTCCTGCCTCAGGCTTCTAAATGCTGGAATTATAAGAATCCACCATCATGCCCAGTTCCAACTCTAAAATCTTTTTTTTGTTTGTTTGTTTTTTGGTCTTTTTGAGATAGAGTTTCCCTGCAGCCCCATCTGGCCTGGAACTCACCATGTACACCAGACTGGCCTTGAATTCCTTCCTCTGCCTCCTGAGTGCTGGGATTAAAAGTGTGCACCACCAAACCCAACTTCTTTTCTTTTTTTAAGACAGGGTCTCCTACTAGAGCCCAGGCTAGCCTGGAAATCTTTTAAATAGCCAAGGCTGACCTCAAACAGCAATCCTCCTACCTCATTCCCTGAAGTACTGAGATTACAGATAGGATCCGTCACATCTGGCCCATCACATACTTTTTTAAAATAATTTTTAAATTTATTTTATGTGTGTTTTGCTTGTGTGTGTGTGTGTGTGTGTGTGTGTGTGTGTGTGTGTGTGACATGGCATGCCCATGGAGGCCACAAGAGAATGTTGAGTCCCTCAGAACTGGAGTTAGGGACTGTTGGTAGCCTACCCAATGTGGGTACTGAGAATCAAATCTGGGTCCTTTGCAAGAGCAGCCAGTGCTATTAACTACTGAGCCATCTCTCTACCTCCCCTCCCAATAATTTTTTAAAACCACTTAAGTAAGTTGGGTGTAGTAGCTCATTCCTGTAATCTAGCATTCAGGGGACTACTGTGAGTTCAAGGCCAGTCTGGACTATGTAATGAGACCCTGTCCTACAAAAAACACATTAGGCCTAGCAAGATGGCTCAGTGGGTAAGGATGCTTTCCACCAAATCTGATGACCTGAGTTTGATCCCCAGAACTTGTATAGTGGAAGGAGAAAAACCAAATCCCACCAATTGTCCTCTGGCCTCCACATATATACTATGGCATGCCCAAACTCACCCACATACATATAATAAGTAAATGTTAAAAAAAAAAAAAAAAAGTTAAGCGGGTATGGTGGTGCACGCCTTTAATCCCAGCACTCAGGAGGCAGAGGCAGGCAGATCTCTGTGAGTTCAAGGCCAGCCTGGTCTACATAGTGAGTTCCAGGACAGTTGGGGCTATAGGGAGACCCTGTCTCAAAAAGACCAAAAAAAAAAAAAAAAAAAAAAAGCTTAAATATATGTATGGAGGGTAGGGCAGAGAGTGAAGCAAAGTTTCATATAGCCCAGGCTGTTCTTGAACTCCTGATCCTGGTGTCTGACCTTCCAGTTGCTGGGATGCAGGTATGGGCCACCATGTGTAGCTTGTGAAACTTTTTGGTCTTTTTGAGACAGGGTCTCCCTGTAGCTCTAGCTGACCTGGAACTCACTATGTAGGCTGGCCTTGAAATCACAGAGATCCGCCTGCCTCTGCCTCCTCAGTGCTGGGATCAAATGTGTGGGCCACTAGGCCCAGCCTTTTTTTTTTTCTAAAAAGAGAAGACCAAGCCTGGTGTGGTGGCACATGCCTTTAATCCCAGCACTTGGGAGGCAGAGACAGGCCGATCTCAGTGAGGTCAAGTCCAGCCTGGTCTACATAGTGAGTTCCAGGACAGCTGGGGCTACGGGGAGACCCTGTCTCAAAAAGACCAAAAAAAAATTTTTATTTATTTATTTTTTTAAAATGTGTATGAGTGTATTGCCTGCATGTATATGAGTGCACCTGTGTGGTGCAATGCCACGGAGGTCAGAAGAGGGCTTCGGATTCCCCTGGAACTGGCGTTAAGGATGGTTCATAGCTGCCTTGTGGGTGCTGGGAATCAAACCCAGGTCCTCTGCAAGAGCAGTCCGTGCTTTCAGCCGCTGAGCCATCTCTCCAGCCCCTTAAAAAATATTTTTATGTTATGTGTATGAATGTATTGCTTGCATTTGTATGTAAGTGCATCCTGGAACTGGACAGTTTTTGGTTGCCATGTGAGTACTAGGAATTGAACCACTGAACCATTTCTCCAGCTCCCTATGTTCCTTTTTTTTTTTTTTTTTTGCTCTTTTTGAGACAGGGTCTCCCTCCTGGAATTCACTGTGTAGAACAGGCTGGCCTTGAACTCAGAAATCCACCTACCTCTGACCTCTGTCTCCTGAGTGCTTGGATTAAAGGTATATGCAACCATGCCCAGCTTGCCTTTTTTTTCTTTTAAGATAAATATGGATAATTAACTTCTATTTATTACCTTTTGATAGATACATAGAAAACATTTATCATATGGGGAGAGGGGAGATCATGTGTCCATATAGTTCTATTTTTTTCTTTTTTAACTTAAAAAAAAATTATTGAGAATTTCATACATGCATATAAGGTGTTTTGATCAAATCCATGCCCACTCCCTCCCTCCAACTTCTCCCATATCTCCCCATCACTTTTTCCTGACAACTTCATGTATTCTTTCTTTTTTTGTGGAGGGGGGTGGGCTTTAAAAGACTCACAAATTGCATAACTCTTAAGTGTAGGGAAAAAAGAAAGTCCTTGACTGGTGCTTAGGAGATGTGGAGGAGAAGTAAAGGCAAGAGCAGTTAGCATTACAAGTTCTAAACAAGGAACTAGAAAAAGGTCAGAACAGGGCAAGTAAATGCCCATTTCAGAGTCCATTGGAATTTATTGATGAGAGCTTTCAAAAGCATCCCTCTATTGGGTTCCTCCTCATTTTTCTTTTGTCTGCCAAGGCTGGACTCGAGTGATGGACTCAGAATTTGTTTTCAGGCACTTTGATAGCTATTGGAGGGGTTAGAATTAGTGTCAGTTCCCTCGCAAAGGGAGAGCACTGACGTGAAGGCAAGACCCAGGTGCTCTCAGGGGTCCCCTGAGTTCTCAGCCCCTATGCCAGACAGAGGCCAGAACAGGCACTGTCTGGTGTTCTGCTGAGATCTCAGTCACTACACCAATTGCTTTTTTTTTTTTTTTTTTTAATTACTGAGTCCTTTTCTAAAGACAAATTTAGCTCATAGGTGCCATCATAATGGTGGGCTTGTGCAGAATTCAGAGGAGTTGCCAGGCTTTGCTTACAACAACCTATTTGTGTGTGTGTATACGTACGTATGTACCCTGAGTGCGCATATAGAGGCATTGGGTTTCTTCCTTTATGGCTTTACACCTTACTTTTGGAGGCCAGATTTCTTACTGAACCTGAAGCTCTTTGTTTTAGCTAGACTGGCCAGTGAGCCCCTGAGATTTGCCTGTCTCCATGCCCTGCCCCACCCAGTGCTGGGGTTGCACTGTGTCTCCAGCTTTAATGTACATTCTGTAGAGTTGAACACAGATCTTCATGCTTATATACCAAGTACTTTTCCCACTGAACCTTCTTCCCAGTCCTAGCAACCCGTTCTTAGAGGAACTAATCAGTAAGACTTGACCCACTCCTGGAACGCCTGTGATCTAATCACCTTCCCCTAAGCTCTACCTCTTAAAGGTTCTGTTACCTCAGCATTGTCACAGAGGAGGCCAAGCTTTTCAATATGTGACCCTTTCTGGGGATAAAGGCTATCTAAGCCATTGTACCTCTGGACGTCCTGAGTCCTGGTCTTCAGGATACTGCTAGATAATGCCCAACAGGTATCTCCCTTTTCCAAAAGGGAGGTTTTTTGATTCTTGCCCTTCCCTGAGAACCTCAGGCCTGGTCTTGACCACTTGGTCCCTAAGCAGTCTCTAGCCTGGCCTTGGTCATTATTGGGCTGTTCTCCACAATTGAGAATGATGCTGGGAGCCAAGTGTGGTGGTTCACACCTGTAATCCCAGCACATAGGATGCTGAAGCAGGAGAGTTGCTGCAGGTTCAGGGCCAATCTGGTCTACATAATGAGTTTCAATTCAACCCAGGCTACCTAGCAAGACTGTGTCTCAAAAAATCCAAAGCAAAACACAGTGTTGCTGGTGAGGCTGTTAGAGGACACTACATTTATTTGAGTGAAATAACAGTAGTGATATTTCCACAAATGGAAATCAACAGCCCTTTGTGGAAGGGCTTTTAAACAGAGTATACATACATGAACTCTAAAAAAACCCCATGATGTGGCTGGACGTGGTGGCGCACGCCTTTAATCCCAGCACTCGGGAGGCAGAAGCAGGCGGATCTCTGTGAGTTCAAGGCCAGCCTGGCCTATATAGTGAGTTCCAGGACAGCTGGGGCTACAGGGAGACCCTGTCTCAAAAAAAAACCCCATGATGTAGTTAGCTGCATTGTTCCCTCTGAAGATGTCCCTTTGTTTTTATTTTTGAAGGACTGCCACCAACTCCAGTACAGCTGCTCTATCCAGTGTCCCGATTCAGCAATGTCAAATCCCTTCAGCACCTTTGCAGATTTCGGATCCGGCAGCTCGTCCGAATAGATCATATCCCGGATCTTCCACTGCCCAAGTACAGTGGGGTCTTGAGGGCTGGGGTGGGGCCCGGCATGAAATGTTCACAGGCAAAGTTCTTTCATCTCTCATCTGTCTTAGCACTTAACTCTGAAGCTGTGACATGACAGCAAAAAGGGAGGAAGATAGATGTGTTGACCTCACTCGTGTAGGTCCTGGGTAGAGTGGAGTGCAGTAAGAGTGAAGGGAGACAAAGTGTAAGCAGTGAGAAGCTAGGGATTCTGTTAGATGGGCACAGGCTGTTTAGTAGTCTTAGCTGTATAAGGGAATGAAGAAAAAGGAAGAAGGGTTGAGCAAAAGATATTTCTTAAAAGAAGCACTAGTGCAAAATTTCGTAGAACTATTCTGTATAAACAGTCCTTTGTGTCTCCTTGTTTTTCACAGACCGCTGATCTCTTATATTCGAAAGTTCTACTATTATGATCCTCAGGAAGAGGTGTACCTGTCTCTAAAGGAAGCGCAGCTCATTTCCAAACAGAAGCAAGAGGTGGAGCCCTCAACGTAGCGAGGGGCCCCTGCTGCTCACCATGAAGGGTAGGAACACTGTTTCCTTGTCCAGCCTATGCACTAGGCATTTCCACATGTGTTGAGCACTTCTGTATATATCTCACTCAGACATTTGTTTGATAATAGGCTCCTTAATAGGTATATACCTCATTTGGAAGAAGAACAGGCAGGCATGAAGAGCTGAAAGAATGTTTGCTAAGCCAAGCCTGCCTGGACTAGAGTGAGTTCAAGGCTAGCCAGGGCAACTTAATGAGACCCTATCTCAAACTAAAAAGTAAAAAGAGGATTAGGAATGTAACTCAGTGGTCGAGTACTTGCCTAGTATGCATGAGGTCCTAAGTTTATTAGTACTACAGAAACAAAACCGAGAAAAATTACCAAGCTGAACACATACCAGGAACCCTACCACCTGGGTGGAGGCGAACAGTGTGCAAGCTAATCACTGAATATAGTAAGGCAGACAAAAGTATAGCTAAGCATGTAGGCTTCTTTCACATGTGCCTTGACTGATCTCAATATTGCACGCATGATACAGAAAGCAAGAACTCAAAGGGGGGAAAACTTCATCCAAGGGAATGCAGATATACCTTTATTTGTAAGAGGCATGCATTTCAATAAGAGTGCCATTAAGTCCCACAGCTGGGATGGGGGATAAGGAAAAGCAGCCTGGCTTTCTGCCTATCCTGAGTCATTTCTGGGCCACTGCAAAGTAAATTGTTGAAAAGGATAAATGACTCTGGGTATGGTGCAACACACCTGTAATCCTTGCATTGAGGAGATGGAGGCAGCAGTATCAGATTTCAATCTGCCTCAGATACATAGCAAGTTGGAGGCCAGTCTGGGCTTCATGAGCCTGTGTCCTTTTTTTTAATTATTTTTATTCATGTGTAATGAGTGTATTACCTGCATGTATGTAAGTGCACCTGTGTCATGCAATGCCCTTGGAGGTCAGTTCCCCTGGAACTGGAGTAGTTAGGGACAGTTGTTAGCTGCCATGTGGGTACTGGGAATTGAACCTAGGTCCTCTGCAAGAGCAATCAGTGCTCTTAACCCCTGAGCCATCTCTCCAGCCCCAAGCCTCTGTTTCAAAAAGGAAAAAAAAGTAGGAGCTAGAGAGGTGGGTCAGCAGTTAAGAACACATACTGCTTTTGTACAGGACCTGAATTCAGTTCCCAGCACCCATGTCTAGAGGCTCATAAAAACTCCAGGGGCTCCAGTATTGTTTTCTGGTCTCTACAGGCACTGCATTCATATGCACAAACCTACTCATAGACATGCAATTTTAAATTAAAAGAAAAAGAATAAATGAGGACTTCATTTACTTAAGTTAGAGATCATTTTCCCACTGCCCTGCTGAGTTCTACCTATTTATTTTGTTTTGTTTTGTTTTGTTTTGTTTTTTTGAGGGTCTGGGCCTGGAACTGAATTGCTATGTAGACCAGGCTGGCTTCAGACTCCCAGAGAGCCACCTGCCTCTGCTTCCAAGTGCTATGATTAAAGGTATACACTTGTACACTACCATGCCTAGCCAAAAAATTTTTCTTTTCTTTTTTTTTTTTCTTAAGACAGGGCCTCACTATGTAGCTATGACTGGCCTGGAACTCACTGTATAGACCAGCCTGGCCTGGAACTCACAGAGATCTACCTGCCTTTGCCTCCCAAGTGCTTAGATTAAAGGCATATACCATCATGCCTGGCTTTTTTTTTTTTAGGATTTATTTTATTTATTTTATGTGTATGTGTTTGTCTGCCATGTGTATGGGTGCCCACAGAGGCCAGAGGAAAACATTGGATCTCCTGAAGCTGAAGTTACAGGCAGTTATGAGCTGCCTGATGGGGTGCTGAGAACCAAACTCAGGCCTTCTGGAAGAGCAGCACCACTGAGCTATCTTTCCAGACCCCACTTACTTCTTTATAAATTACATTGAATACTGGTTTGTGCTGGCAAATTCTTTTTTTTTTTTTTTTAATTAGTTTGTGTGTGTTCATGTGATACTGTGTACATGTGGTGTCCTGTCATGGTTGACTTCACACAATGACTTCATACCTTTTTTGTTTGTTTGTTTGTTTTGTTTGTTTTTTTGAGACTTCATATCTTGACATACTTGGGAAGAGGGAACCTCAGTTGAGGAGTTCCCTCCATTGGATAGGCCTGTGGGCATGTCTGTAAGGCATTTTCTTGATTGTTGAGTGATGTTGGAGGGCCCAGTCCACTGTGGGTGGTGTCACCCTGGGCTGCTCCTGGGTTGTATAAGAAAGCAAGCTGAGTGCAGGCCGGAGGAGCAGGCCAGTAAACAGTGTTCCTACATGGTCTGTGCTTCAGTTCCTGCCTCCAGGTTCCTGCCGTGGGTTCCTACCTGACTTTTCTCAAAAATGGACTGTCACTTAGGAGTGTAAGATGCAATAAATCTTTCCTTCCCAATGTTGGTTTTGGTCAGAGTAGTTTGTTTTTTTGTTGTTGTTTTGTTTTTGAAAAGACTGTTAAGGGTCTGTAAAATTCCCTAAATTGACCACTCGGACACTGAGTCTCAGTAAAAAGGAGTGCTTTATTGGAACCAACCGGTTGAGGACGCAGACAGTCTTGGGAGCTGTGCTGCGACCCTGAACAGTAAAAACGTAGGACTTTTAAGCAGAAAAAACACAAAAACCACAAGGCAGGGAATGTCCATAGAAACTACACAGAATAACCAAGGAAGGATTGGAACAATCTAGGGCTGATTTCCAGAGACTCTACCTATACAGCCATTGGCTGTCTTACTTGGGGCAGAACTTTCTTTCTCTTCTGCCCCAGATTATTCCCATAGAGACCATACACAGATGTATCAAGAAAACTGTCATTGGCTAGCTCACCTGGGGCAGAACGTTCTATCTCTTCTGCCCCAGATCATTTCCATAGAAATCATAAACAGATACCAGGAAAGGGTTCGAACAATGAAGGGGATTTCCAGAGTCAGGTGGAGGGTAGTTTTTTTTCAGAGGATAGGGAGGGGGTCTGAGGGCCCCTCTCTTTCAGAGACAGGGTCTCCCTGTAGCCCCAGCTGACCTGAAACTCACCATGTAGACCAGGCTGGCCTTGATTTCACAGAGATCCACCTGCCTCTGCCTCCTGAGTGCTGGGATTAAAGGCGTATGCCACCATGCTTGGCCTGGTCAGAGTGTTTTATGACAGTATTAGAAAACAAAGACAAGGTCACCAGACAACTTTGTGGAGTAGTTTCACTTTTATGTGGATTCTGGGGAATCAAACTCAGTTTTCCAGTCTTACACAGCAAGCACCTTTATCCACTGAGCCATCTTGTTAGCCCTCTTTATTTATTTAAAACAATTTTTTTTGTTTTAAGACAGAGTCTTGGAGCTGGAGAGATGGCTCAGTGGTTAAAAGCACTTGCTGCTCTTACAGAGGACTGTGGTTCATTTCCCACCATCCACATGGCAGCTAACAATTGTCCATAATTCCAGTTCCAGGGGATCTCGTGCCCTCTTCTGGCTTCCACCAATATTGAATCCATGGGTGCACTTACATACATGCAGGCAAAACACTCATACACATAAACTAAAAATTAATCAAAAAAAATTTTAAAACCCAGAAAACAAAGAACAGCATCTCAGGGCAGAAGAGGTGGCTCAGCAGTTAAAATCACTTGCTGTTCCTGCAGGAAACCTGGATTCAGTTCTCAGCATCCACATAGCAGCTAACAACCCTCTGTAACTCCAGTTCCTCTTCTGACCTCTGTGGGCATTGTGTACACATGGTGCACTTACATGCAGGCAAAACTCTCATATACATAAAATAATAAATACGTATATATATTTTTTGGTCTTTTTGAGACAGAGTCTCCCTGTAGCCCCAGCTGTCCTGTAACTCACAGGGATCCGCCTGCCTCTGCCTCCCAAGTGCTGGGATTAAAGGCATGCGCCACCATACATGGCATTTTATCTTTTTTTTTAATTACCAGTCTTTTTAAACTTTTATTTTTTTGTGTGATGAGTGTATTGCCTACATGTGTGTAAGTGCACCCATGTTGGGCAGTGCCTGCAGAGGTCAGAAAAAGGCGGCCGATCCCTGGAACTGGAGTTAGGGACAGTTGTTAGTTGCTGGGAATTGAACCTGGGTCTTCTGCAAGAGTAGTTGGTGCTCTTAACCGCTGAGCCATCATTCCAGCCTCTCTTGATTTTTTTTTTTTTTTTTTGAGACAGGATCTCACTATGTAGCTCTAGCCGGCTTGGACTTTACTATGTAAACCATCCCAGACTGGCCACGTTTTCACAACAATCCCCCTGTCTCTGCCTCCCAAGTGCTGGGATTAAAGAGGTGTGCCATCGTGCCCAGCCTTAATTAATATTTTAAATTGTGCTGAAGTAAACATTAAAATGTTGGCATGAGTAGGGAGCAGCAGTTGCAAGGAGTTGTAGATTTGGGCAGTGCTGGCATGTGCTCACATTCTGGTATCATTTGCTAGTTTGTCGTTATTGTGTCTTCCCCTTTCTCTGGGATGTTTCTAAGCACTGAATACTTGTGCTTTTTTTCTGACCCACTCTTCCTCAGTTCTATCCCCACCAGAAAACTATAAGAGAGCCTGGCATGGTGGCTCATGCCTTTAATCCCAGCACTTGGGAGGCAGAGGCAGAGGCAGAGGCAGGAGGATCTCTGTGAGTTCAAGGCTAGTCTGGTCTACATAATAAATTCCAGGGCAGCTAGAGATACAGGGACACTTGGTCTGAAAAAAACAAACAAAAAAAAAACAATAAACAAAACAAACAAACAAACCCACTATAGGAGAAACCCATAGGAGTCACAGCCTTAGGGTGAAGTGGGGGCTCTAATCTCACCACCCTCTTTGTTCTTCTCTCAGTGGAGCATGACAGCTAGCATTGCTGTCCCCTGTGTGTTCCTTAGCTGTGGCTGAGGTAAATCTATTGTGGGTCTCTTCTGGGCTCTCCTGTGCAATTATGGGAAAGCAGGTGAGCTAAACTACTGAGGATTAGTAAGGGCAGAGGGAATGGCCAAAGAGAGACCAAGAAATAGTATCTCTGGAAGACTATGGCACTCTGACCTTCTGGATCCTGGACTAGTTGTAAAATCTCTCATCATATCTTCAGTTACATTCAGGTTGTATGCCTTGGAAGTAACTCCTAACATGTCTGTGTGCTTTAATGTAGGAAGATTTCTTTGTGTGGTGGCTTTGTAGTCAAGATTAGTGAAGGAATTGAGTATGGTAACACATCTGTAATCCCAGCATTTGGGAGGTGGAAGTAGTAGGATCTCTGCCCTCCCCCTTTTAAAAAAAAAATTTTTTTTTAATTTTATGTCTGTGAGTGTGTGAGTGCTCTATGTATGCCATACTTGTGGAGGCCTGAAGAGGGCATCAGATCCCTGGAATTGGAGTTACATACAGTTATGAGCTGCCATGTGGTATCTAGGAATTGAACCCATATCCTGTGCAAGAGCAGTAAGCACTCTTTAACTACTAAGCCATTTCTCCAGACCTTCCTTTCAAAGACAATTTTTTTTTTTTTTTTTTTTTTTTTTTTTTTTTTTCAATCTCCTTGTAGCTCCAGCTGTCCTGGAACTCGTATGTAGACCAGGCTGGCCTCGAACTCACAAAGATCATCCTGAGATCTGCCTGCCTCTGCCTCCCAAGTGCTGGGATTAAAGGTGTGCACTACCACACCTGGCCCAAAGACAATTTTTTAAAAGATTTATTATTTTTAAAAGTTTTATTTTTATTTTATGTGTATGAGTGTTTTGCCTGCATGTATATATGTGCACCCATGTAGTACAATGCCCATGGAGGTCAGAAAAGGATGTCAAATTCCCTGGAACTGGAGTTACAGATGGTTGTTAGCTGCCATGTGGGTACTGGAAATTGAACCCAGGTCCTCTGCAAGAGCAGCCAGTGCTCTTAACTGCTGAGCCATCTCTCCAGCCCCAGCCCCAAGATTTATTTTATGTGTGTGTGTGCGCACACACACAGCTATGTGGGAGTATGTGCATATGAGTGCAGGTACACATAGAGGCCAGAAGAGAATGTCATATCCCATGCAGCTAGAGTTACAGGCAGTTGTGAACTACCCAATGTGGGTGCTGGGACCCAAACTCAGTTCCTCTGGAAGAGCAGTAAGTGCTCTCAACCACTGAGCCACCTCTCCAGCTCAGGATCTCTGTTTCCATGAGACCGCCCCGGGCTACGTAGTAAGAGCCTGTCTCAAAAATAAAAAAGATTAGAATTTAAAGGTAGAGAACTAGGGAGTCCAGCTATGCAACTGTAGTCTTTGTTTTTTTTTAAAGATTTATTTTTAGATTTTTTTTTTTTTTTTTTTTTTTGGTCTTTTTGAGACAGGGTCTCCCTGTAGCCCCAGCTGTCCTGGAACTCACTATGTAGACCAGGCTGGCCTTGAACTCACAGAGATCCACCTGGCTCTGCCTCCTGAGTACTGAGATTAGAGGCGTGTGCCACCACGCCCAGCGAGATAATTTTTTTTATGTTTATGAATGTATTGCCTGCGTTTAAGTACACCTGTGCCGTGCAATGCCGGTGGAGGTCAGAAGAGGGCACTGGAGTCCCCTGGACTTGGAGTTATGGATAGTTGTTAACTGCCATGTGGGTGCTGGGAGTTGAACTTGGGTCCTCTGCAAGAGCAGCCAGTGTTCTTAACTGCTAAGCCATCTCTCCAACCCCCTTAAGATTTATTTTCTTTTTTCTTTTTTTTTTTTTTTTTGGTCTTTTTTGAGACAGGGTCTCCCTGTAGCCCTAGCTGGCCTAGAATTCACTATGTAGAGCAGGCTGGCCTTGAACTCATTGAGATCTGCCTGCCTCTGCCTCCTGAGTGCTGGGATTAAAGGCATGCACCACCATGCCTGGCTTATTTTCATTTTTCTTATGTGTATATGTGCCTTTGTGAGTTTATCTGCACCACATATGTGCAGGAGCCTTCAGAGGCCAGAAGAGGGCATCAGATCCCCTGGAACTGGAGTTACAGGGAGTTATGTGCTACCATGTAAATCCTGGGAACTGAACAGGGATCTTCTGCAAGCCTAGTAAGTGCTCTGAACCACTGAGCCATCTCTTTAGTCCTCTGATTGTATTCTTGAGGAATAATAGGATTCTTCAGTTACAGCATGATTTCTCTGGGTGTTGTGCCTTGTGGGGGACCCACAGCAACAGGAATGCATTCAGAAGACCTCAGGGTGTTGGAGTACTCCAAACTTCATCATATAGGGAGTAACTGATGAGACTGAAAATATGTTCATGTAATATAATTAACCCAGAGCAAAGTATTAGGGTGGGGTAGCTGAAGTCCTTGATGGGTTTTCCTAAGGAAGAGCATTTATGTGCTATGTGACTTTGTGGAACAGGACAAAGACTGAATGAATATTCTCAGACCACCCTGCCAGAGGTCATTGCCACGTCTCCAGTTGTTTCAGTGTGTATAGAAGCATTTGCCTGTCCAAACTCCATTCTGCTTTGGAGCCACTTACAGCACCTTGTCTGTTCCTTTCATTTTGGTTCTACTGTTTAAACTGGTTTCTTTTTCCCTTTCTTTTCCCCTAGGCATTTGGTTGCCAAACTCCAGTTTGAAGAACCAAATTGAAGTTACCACAAAAAGAAGAACTTGGCAAAAAAGAGAGAATAGAGAGGGTTGTGATTCTCGGCACAGACTTTGGTTCCCCTGCAGCCTTGGGGCTTGGAAGAAGCACACAACCATACTCTGTATGGGGCTCCACCATTCTATCCACCCCTGTGGTACCCAGAACTAGATGAGCTCCTCGGGAAAACTGGAAGAAGTCTTAACACTGTTTCTTTTCAGAAGTTTTGTTTTAATATTTGCATTTCACAGTGTGGAAAACTCACCTTGAAGGCAGCTGGGATTTGTTCCCATTGAATTGGAACTGATATGAAGGATGAACAGGTCCAAAGAAAAGTAGGGAGGAGAGGGGTCAGTTGTTTAACTGCTGCCAGAGGCAGAGGTAGCATCTTTGCCATGGATCTGGAGGAAGGGAGGAGGAGCCATAAAAGGTACTGTACAGGATTGGGAGTTTCTGAGGGAAGGGAACTTCGCTTCACTTTGCCAGTTTCAATAGGGAAGAGGGAGGGTGGGTGGAAGAGGAGATTATCAGACAGAAACTGGCAATCCTGTTTGCTAGAAGTAGTGACTCCCCATATCCTTTCTTTTTAAGGTTTACAAAACCTGATTTCAGAATCACCTCTCTCGGAAGCTAAATTCATTTGCTTTGCTAAATTCCTTAAACTTTGTGACCTAAGGCTAACCTCATTTTCCCTCCACCTTCAGCCCCTTCCCCCTCCATAACTATACATTTCACTCTGGTCATGGTAATGTCCCTCCTATTGCTTCTGCCAGCTGTCAAGGCAGAGGCATTTCTTGTGACCTGAGCGGTTCAGAGCTCCAATCTTGGGCTGTTGAGGTTAATGGAGCATGTTTCCAGCTTCTTTGTGGCAAAGCATACCCACAGCTGAGGAGTCAGTGTTACCTCTGTCAGCTAGTGAGAGGAAATGTGGAGGAAGGTGAGAAACAGCTATTGTGCTCTGTCTAGAGGAGCCTGTGAGCCTCAGCCTTAATGAGATTTCCATAGTGGAGAGAGAGTATTGCATCTCATGATTGTAGGCTTATCATTGTCATCTTGCCTCTGAGATGGGAGGTAGCAAGGGCTTCTTCATTTTCCCATGTTTGTACTAGCAACCCAGACATTTCCCGAATCAGACCCCGTTGCCCTTCATTTAGTGGGAAGTCTGTCAGATGCTGGTTTGAGAGTTACCTGTTTTCCAGGTAGATGTGGAGGAGGGAGGAGGAAACCTCGTTGCTTTTCAGTGGTCTTTATGTATGCAGCTGGCCACAGCCACTCATATGCCATGTAAATTTGCTCTTCTAAAGAGTTACTCTGGTAAACATAACTGTCAAGATGGAACAGTTGAGCTGTTGGGTCTTCATTACTCTTTCGTAGTAGTCTATGTGACACCTTTTGGGTTCCCTTTGCTTATTACCTGCCTCATACCTCAAGTTAACAACATCAGGCTTGTGGTTTCCTGATGGCTTCGGCCTTGTGTCTTGGTAACTTACAAAACTGGAGAGTGTCCTGTGTGCTCATTCCCTGCATGGAGTCACCTTCCTCCTACTCTTAGCCAAACAGAGGAAACACGCTTCACCAACTGGCTGTAAAGAATTGTCCCACAGCTGAGCTGTGCAGCATAAGTCAGCCCACTTCTGGCATGTCTTGTGGTACCTCTTCCTTCCTTGGCTTCAAGGGCAGCATTACCAACAGTATAAGATCATGATCCAGAGGTTGGCACACCTGTGAGTTCTGCCTTCTTTCAGAAAGGGCCATCCTGCAAGAGTCCAAAGTCTGGAATCCATAGAGATCTTCAACTGGTTAATATGCAACTCCAGGGGATTCTTTCTCCCATTTCACACACTCATAATTTAAGTTTTAATTTTTAGTCACTATTTTCATGGCTCTGGGCTAGGAAGTGTGGAAGACATACCAAGGTAGAAGACATGGCATGATCCCTGGCCTGAGAGAACTTTAAAGTGACTGTTGTATATTAAGTAATTGGAGAACAACTCAGTGTGGTAGGACTGTCTTTATACATAGAGTGGGCACAATCAGGGTAGACCAGATGGTCTGGGAAAGCTCTGTGGTGATGAGACTTCAGGTTGTAGGCAAGGGCAGTAGTATGACAAGAAGAGAAATACATGGACTAAAGCGAGGAAGCAGAAATCTGTGTCCATGTGCAGGGCAGTGCACAGCCCCCTTAGAGATAACAGCATCACAGAGTCCTACTTTACTATGGAGGTCTAGACAGCCTTCCTAGTAATCAAGCAGGTCTGAAAGCTGAGGGGATGTGAAGCCAAAGCCAGAAGTCAGTGGATATTCCCTGTGGTACTGGGGTTTCTACTGGAGAATTCATTCACTTGGGAGCAAAACCAGACCTGCTGCAGTCAGCGTGGCTATCCTCAGCGCCCCCCCCCCCCCAATCTCTACCCTTGGGAAGAGTTGTACTGTGCTCATGATCGGCATGTGCTTTAGTCACAGCCCAACTAGCCTGACCCTTCCTCAGCAGAATGGGCTACAAAACAGTAGTGTGGAAGATGTCTCCATCAGGCATGATTTGGCACCAGTAGGGGTGTAGAAGAATTTAAGTGAGGAGTCAGGTAGAGTAGGAGTAGTTGACTGTGCTGAAGGCTGGCTGGAAAGGGAGCAGGAGCTAGGCAGACAGTTGGCTTGGCCCTGACCCTTCTCCTGAGGTGGGCAGTGCTGGTGGAAATGCAGTCCACAGAGGGGACTTACTCACCTCTGGTTGTTGTGTGCCAGTCACAAACTGGGAAAGGCCCTCATGTGTAGAGACCTGCTGTGATTTCTAGGTTGTGGTTGGGGGTGTCACTACTCTCAGGTCTTGCCTATGTCACCTTCACTTGTTTATGACTGATCTACTGTAACCTTCAAGATGGGTTTGTGCCAACGTAAGCTAGTGACAACCACTGCTGCAGCCTTCTGTTACTTGAAATCCATGTCTGTGTTGGGAGCACAGGTATAGGAGGCCGGGGACTCTGATGTTGGGGACTAGGTAAATGGATGACAGCTGGTAGGTAATGGAGTTTAAGCTGATCATGGCCTGGTTTCCCACCAGTGCCAAGGTGAAATAAGTATGGATGGTAGTGCCAGCCTCTTGAGAAGAATGGCTTGACAGTGTCCCTTTGACTCCTGCTCCTCCTCTCACACTTCTGACTTGGGCTGAGTGTAGAAGCCACTTGTTGATACAGGGGTGATGTGGGGATAGCTGCATATGCCCCTCTAATGCACATCTCAGAAGGACTGGGGAACAGGTCAGGGTAGAGCCAGAAGTGCCCTTGAGAGCCCTTTTCAGCCCCTACCCTGGCCCCCAGAAGAGCATAGCCTGCTTGAAAGCCCTATCCCAGCAGGGAGTGGGGACATGAGGATTCCTCCACCCCACACCCTCAGGAGAGATCTATCTCTTCCCCTGCTTCCTCTCCCTGACCTTTGGGCCCAGACGTTAGAGGACCGGGCACTGAGATGTAACTAGCTGCTGGAAGGAAGTCCGCAAGTCTGTGTGACTGTGTGTGTGTATCTTCACTTGCGGAAGTCTTGCCTGCAGTTGGGATGTTGGGAACATCCCCACTGGTGGGGACTAGGACTTGTTTTACCTTTTGAGAGAATGGCCCCCTGTGCAGAGGGGAAGAGCTTTTGAGTTAGACATTTTCCCTATGGGAATCCTCTTGGTTTGGTTTGTGGGAAGGGGGAATGGATAAGTGGTTATTATCTCTAGTCGTCAACACAGCCGTCCTTACACTAAATTTGTGCTATTGCATATATGTAGCCATCTTTCTTTTCACTGCAGCAGTGTTTATCAGTAGTTCAAAATGATTTATTTGCTCCTGGGGAGTAAAACCTTTTTTATTAAAAAAGAAAAAAAGAAAAAAAGAAAGGTGTGCCCCACTATGATAGCTGTAGGATTATTGGGCCACAGAGGTCAACCCTGCACGTCCCCATGGTGCATACTATTGGTGATGGAGCCTTCATGCTCAGTAGTGACAGGAGGCCTTGAACAAGTAGAAAACAAGTTTTGGAGGAGTGAGATGGGGTTGAATCACCAAGATAACAGCACTGGGGACTCAGGTAGTACAGTTGAAAACAGAGGAATGAGTTAAGAGTACTGATTCTATAATCTGCCAGAGAAAGGGATCTTTCTTTACATGCAGATTTCATACATCTGTCTTTGTCCTTTTCATTGCTTGGCATCCTGGTAGGTGTCACCTAATTTCTCCCCTCTCCCTCCTGTCCTTCCTGCCCTTGGTCCTGTCCCTACTCTCATCTACCTCCCGGGAAGCCAATCCTGCATGCTGAGTTTATGACATGCCTTCACTCCCATTTCATCTTCAGAGGGTTTTAGAGGGTCCCTGAAGCTGCTCCCTACCCCATCTATCCCTCCTCAATGCCAAGAAGCATGAAGGAGGAGGCAAAAGCAGCCAGCTGTGGCGGACAGACACCAACATGGATCGCAGCTGGACTGTGATCACAGCTGCTCCTGGAGACAGAGTATAAGGAAAATAGGACGCTCTTCTTCAGAACCCACCTGGGCGACCCCTGCTGTACTTGCAGGTCCACCCAGCTGCGTCCTCAGCTTCCCAACCAGCTCAGGTGGAGCGGCAGGCTGGTCTGACCACTCCATCCCTGGTGCTCCCCAGAGGGACAGGCAGGATCCAGGCACTACTCTGGGCAGGCCAGGCATTGGGATGCCCAAACTGGTGCTGCCCATGGCATGGGCACTGCTGTGCATTCTGGTTGTTTTTCAGAAACTCCGTGGTAAGGGGTGTCATTCTGGGCTTGGTGGTTGCCAGTTGCTCACCAGAGGGGATCCACACCCCCTGCAACCACTCTGTCCTGCTTAGCCACCCCTGCCCTCCAAGCCAAAGCGTGGCCTGGCTTTCGTCTTCCCATTTAGTTTTCCTCCTTTATTCTCCCCTTTTATGCTTAATTTATTAAAATAGTTGCTGTATAATTTATTTTCATAAAGTATAAAAAATAACTAAATGGTTAAAATAGACTTGCAGGCCAATCTTTAATGGGGGAGGGTCTGGGGTGGGATGGGGAGAGGGAAAGATGTTTTGATATAAACAAAACAAATGCACTTTGGGTGTGTTTTGGTATTTTTCTGGGCAGAGGGGTGGGTGATGGGATGTCCCTGTAGATTAGTTCCAGAATGGGTGTCTGTAAATACTGTATTAATAGGCATGTTTGACTCTTGTAAAGGGACATTAGTAGCTGCTGCAGGTCCTGTTGGAAACCCCATTTACAATTCCCAGTTTTTTGTAAGTGTCAGTGCGGGAGACATTTGACTCTTGTGTTTGTATCTCCTTTTTATGATTGCTGTACCCGACCCATGTCTTTTTGGGGAGGGGTGAAAAGAGATTTGAAATAAAAATGTTTAGAAATGATTTGTTACTGGGGTTTGTGTTTTTCGTTCCCTGTCCCATCACCTGACTTCACCTACCTTCAAGAATGGGGTCCCTATGATAGCGGCCATTCAGAACACCCAAGCTTGTCTGAAGTAGGGTTGTTGAAAAATTCCTGAGGCTGATGACCACTGCTCAGAGCTGCCCTAGGAAGCACAGAATTCCAGGGAGCTTTGTGGGGCCAGGTGCCTGGGACCTTCCTGCCCTGGTGGGCAGTGGGCAGACACTGAGAGAGTGGCATTTTGTGGCAGAAGTAATTCTGGTAGTTTGGCTGAGAGGTTTCTAAGATCAGTGTCCCTGCCCTTGCTGCTTTTCTAGCCCATGCCCTACTGAGCTCTTTGGTGAGGCCTGTCATGGTCCTGATTATACCAGTATGAACTGGGAACCACTCACATCTCCCACCTACCCTTTCCACTCTTCTCCAGCTTCTTGCTTAAGAGACCAGTGTACCACATGCACCTTTTCAGATATTGTCAGTAGGTTTTCTACTGCATTCTCAGCCCCTTCTCTAGGCTAGTCAGAGGGAGACCTCTAGAAGTCCCTGCTAGCCCAGTAGGCTTGTGCAAATACAAGCTTGTGATGAACTGTTCCTCTAGTTTCTGGTAATCCTGTGATGGCATCAACTCCTGGGTAAAGTTTCCTTCTATCTTGAATGAAAAGACAGCTCAGTGACATGAACAATATTTTAAGAGAAGCTTCATTTACTATTTGGGAGTTAGGCACAAGGGATCTTTGTTAGTAACTCCTGAGCTTGGCAAGCATCAATCAAGTTTGTTAGTAAAACCCAGTGTGGTGATACACAGCTGAAATCCCAGTATTCAGGAGGCTGAGGCAAAAGCATTGCCTTGAGTTTGAGGCCAGCCCAGGCCATGGGTGAGACCCTATATCAAAAAGGGGGAAGGCAGAGTTAGAGTGATGATACCAAGTGGTTAAGAGCACTAGCTGCACAATCATGAAAACCTGAGTTCAGATTCCAGCACCCACGTAATAATAAGCCGGGTGTCTTGCATCTATAACTCCAGCTCTGAAGGATCTGATGGCCTGTTCTGACCTCTGTGCATGTATGAGTTTACAAATACACATGTACACATACATTCATGCAGACAGTCTTTTTTTTTTTTTTTTCGAGTAGGAAAAAATCCTTTTATTGGGGTGGATGCAGAGCACAGGCTAGTCCATGATAAAATGACTTAAGAGAAAGATCCAAAAGTGCCTTGTCTCCCATGCCCTGGTATGGGCTCAGTGAGGCCTGGGCATGGGAGGAACCTGAGCGGGGAGGGTGTGTGTGGAGGGGACTTCAGACCAGGTGGAGCCTGCGGATGGGAAGGATGAAGAAGGCTGCTTGGTGTTGTGGGAGGCCAGGCCACCTTGGCCCTGGACCCTGGGCTTGGCCTTACTGACAGGTGGCTGGGTGGGGGACACCACTGTGTGAAAAAGGGCCTACTGACACCTCACAGCTGGGTCTGATGTCCCTTTAACCAATGCTTGGCACAAGTTACAGCATAAATAAAAACTCAAGGAAAATAAATACATGGGTTCTATGAGGTTGGAGCGGTGTGGGCTTGGTGTCAGCAGACTGTGCTTACACACACCGGCAGGAGTGGACAGAGCAGACAGACAGGTGAGCCGGCACATGGGGCCTAGGTGTCCTCTGGCATGTCCGGGCTGTCGGTCCGGGACACTTTTCAGGGTGGTGCCGAGCTCTCCCCCTCCGCCTCCACCTGCTCTTGGTCTCTCTTCTTGGAGGCATTCTTTCTGTCCCATTGCTGGTGTAGGTAGCGCAGGAGGATGTTTGTCTTTTCTGTCACGATGATCTGTTCTGACGGGTACACTGAGGGCCGTCGGTTCGAGGCCTTGCACACGAAGTCTGCATGGAATCGGCTGAAGTTGCTCTTGTTGTAGGCTGGCAGGCCTTTCAGGAAGTCTGCCATCGTCCTTGTCCGCCGCCGCCCGGGCCACCTACACCGCCGTCGTAGCCTCCTTCCCAGCCACCGCCGGCACAACCACTTCCAGCCGCCGCGCAGCTCGCGACTGACAATACATTTTTTAAAAATATTACTTTTTTTTTCCCGGAGCTGAGGAATTAACCTAGGCAAGTGCTCTACCACTGAGCTAAATCCCCAACCCCAAAATATTTTTATTTTATGTGTATGAATGTACTGCCTGCATGTATGTGAGCGCACCTGTGTTGTGCAGTGCCGCAGAGGTCAGAAGAGGGCTTCGGATTCCCTTGGAACTGGAATTAAGGATGGTTCGTAGCCGCCATGTGGGTGCTGGGAATTGAACCCGGGTCCTCTGCAAGAGCAGTCAGTGCTCTTAACTGCTGAGCCATCTCTCCAGACCCATGACAATACATTTTTAAAGTGTATTAGAGTGCATATTCCAAGTAGAGACACTAGTTTTCATCATTCCATCTTGAGGACTGTTGGATTCCTTAGGAAATCTGGGTGCTAGTTCCCTCTGACTTGGGCCACAAAGCCCATAAAACAATCATCCTTTGGAATGTTGGGCCCCAAATAGAACTTTTTTCAGTTACTATCTTTATGAGTATTTTGCCTGCATGTAAGTGCAACACATGCATGCAGTTACTGTGGAGGCCAGAACAGGATGTCAGATCCCCTAAAACTGGCGTTAGGGATGGTTATTAGCTACCATGTGGGGGTTGGGAACCAACCCCATGCCTTCTGGAAAAACTGCTTTCAACCACTGAGTCATCTGTCCAGCCCCACAAAACTCTTCACTGCAACCTAAGACCACCTCTTTACTTCCTGTGGTCCTGCCCTTTGTTTTGGGTTTTTATTTTCATTTTTGGTCTTTTTGAAACCGGGTTTCCCTGTAGCCCCAGCTGGCCTGGAACTCACTATGTAGACCAGGCTGGCCTTGAACTCACAGAGATCCATCTGCCCCTGCCTCCCGAGTGCTGGGATTAAAGGCATGTGCCACCATGCCCAGCTGGTCCTGCCCTTTCAAATGCTACCTTTTTTGTCCTAAAGGCTCTCCCCCTCTCCCTTCTATGACAGAGGCTCACCATGCACATGCTTATTACAAGCCCATGGTAAATAATGGTATGCATTACCTGTTAGCTCTGTCACATATTCCCCGATAGAAGATGAAGTGAGAAAAGTGTGTCCTAGCTTTTTTGGCTCTTCATACCTGTCAGTGTGAGCATCTTGTGCCTAATGACTCTCTTGCATATTTGGGCATGTGGACTCTGAATACACTATTTTTCTGTTGCTCAGTCAAAAGCTCAAAGAGTTCACTCCAGTTCATGAGCTGGGTTATCATTGGGGCCTATTCCCAAGGGACTTAGTTTTACAATGTGCTACCTTGCACTCAGGTCCCTATTGAGCTAGGACTGTCAAACACCCCTTTTACCATGTGTTTAGGCAGCCCCTTTCCCAGGAGTATTGCTCACTTTCCTTGACTCCAGAGTCCTTGAACCTGGATCTTTAATTTCACACAGCACAAATTGGGTATATAAAGAGATAGGGTGATTTTGTGTGTGTGTGTGTGTGTGTGTGTGTGTGTGTGTGTGTGTGTCTCTGGGAATGGAACCCTGGGCTCTGCATATGCTAGACAAATGTTCTACCTCTGATGTATTATTAGTCAGGGTCCTCTAAGAAACAAAACCGGTAGAATGAATATAAATCCATATGGATTTATCAGATTAGCTCACAGGATAGACTCCGAGTAGTCCAACAATGGCTGCACCACACTGGAGAGGCTGAAAATCCAGTAGTCGCTCAGTCCACGAGACTGGATGTCTCAGTAGTCCCAATCTAGCACTAAAGGTCTGATGAATTCCAAACGATCAGCTGGTCTTCAGTCTACAGCAGCAAGACAAACTCACCAGTGAGAAAGAAGGCAAGCTGCAAAAAGCAAGCGCTCTCCTCTGCTGTGGCCTTTTGTACTGGCTGCCATCAAAAGGTAACACCCACATTTAGGGTGTGTTTTCCAGCTTCAGATGATCCTATCAAGAAGATCTCTTTTTTGGGGGGGGGTGCTTTTTGAGACAGGGTCTCCCTGTAGTCCCAGCTGATCTGAACTCACTATGTAGACCAGGCTGGCCTTGAACTCACAGAGATCCACCTGCCTCTGCCTCCTGAGTGCTAGGACTAATGGCGTGCACCACCACGTCCGGCAAGAAGATCTCTCTTATTTCAGTTAATCCCAGATCCAGTCAAGTTGACACCCAGGATTGGCCATCACAGCTGACTATACACCTCCAGCCACAGAAGGAAGGTGCTTTAGTTATGAAATGTCAGTCTTCTGCAGGAAGACTCCAGGAGTTGACATCTGGTAGTTGAGGGGAAGCACGATAATGTCAGCCTCCATGCAGGACATTCTGGAGGTGGGAGGGGACATTTTTGTTCTGGTGTCATAGAAGATGACAGCTGTTGCTGCCCTTTGGCTGGGAGATGTTGCTGTGCCAGGGCCAATACACTTTGCCCAGTGGTCAAATGTTGCCCTGAACCACCTACTGGTTCTCCTGGGCTCTCATTCCACAGTAACCTGCTATATTAAGGGAGCTCAGCTCAAGTGCCCCTCTGCTCCACATCCTGGGTCCTCCATCTCATTCACCAGGTATTGAGGCCTGGCTCTCCCATGTTCCTGCTGAGAAATTTGGTTTTTGTCTCCAAGTCTTTACTCCATAGATTGGAGGGTGGTCACACAGCTGGAGAATGAGAGGACCTGTAAGGTTTTCCCTGAAAGAGAAACGTGTTAGATGGTAATGGCTCCACTTGGGGGTTCTGGGTTCAGAAGGAATTGGAGAAAGTCTGGCAGCAGCTGTTCCACATAAGTCTGACAGTAGTTGACAATGGAAAGTTTCACTAGGCATGGACCACCCTTCTCTGCAGCTGCCACCTCCTCTCAGTGCCCTGGTGCTGTTGAAGACTTGCAGGAGAGACAGGCATTCTTTCCTTCTGCCCAGGGGGCCTGTTTCCTTGACTAGACATTGCATGTAGAAGGGAC